ATTCCGTCGTGCAACGCTGTACTGAAATGAATTTTATACCATTTTTTGGGGACAGATAGAGCTTTATTTTGGTGGTATTTAATCACCACTGGGGTTTTTATTTTTTATTATAATTAGGAAAAATTACAGAAAATTTTGAAAAAAAAAAGTTTTTTTTTACATTATGTTAGGAAACATTTATTATTACCCAGTTTTTTGGTAAAATATAAAAGATCGGGTCACGTCGGGTAAATAGACACCAAACATGTCAAGCTTTAAAATTGCGCGCACCCGCGAAATCGCAGAAAACTACCATACCCAAAATTGGCCATAGGCGACACTTTAAAAGCTTTTACCGCTCATCAGTTTAGTGTTATCAGTGATTGATGGCCCTAGACTTATTGCTCTCACTGCGACGTTCGCGGCGATATGTAACATGTGCGGCGTAATGGGCGCAATCGTCGTTTTTGCACGTATGCGGCCCCCGACGCATGTTTGCATGCGTGTATGTATGGGTGGGGACTTAAAACATTTTTTTTTTGTTTTTTTATTCTTTTTTATGTGTAACTTTACATTTTTTGGGGGGGGGGACTTAAAAAAAAATTCCTTTTTTTTTTTTTTTTACTAAACTTTATTGCTATCACATACGGGGCTAATAAAAAACCCCTATGTGATAGCAAAATATGTGACAGGTCCTCTTTATGGAGACATCAGGGGTCTCCAAGACCCCTAATGTCACCTAGGACCCCCCAAAAGAAGCTGATGAAGCACAGATCTGCTCCACCAGCTTCTTTGCAGCTTCTGAAGCTGGAGAGTGACACAAGAATGCGGAAGTGATGTATTATACAACACTTCCGCATTCTTGCAGAGGAGAGGGGACCGGAGGGAGCTTGTGTACCGATCGCTTGTATGGTAACAGGCATCGCTGCCTGTTTTTACATTTCGGCCGCTTCCCGCTCGCGCGTGCCCAGGGGGCGTGTCTGAGCGGACGTCTAAAGACGCCCGCTCAGATCTAGAGAGCTCCGGGCCGGCCGTTTTTTTACTACGGCCGGCCCGGAAGTGGTTAAATGCCTGAAAATTGCTATAGGAGCATTGACCGAGCGTTTAAGGGGTGTTTCAATATACATCAATGGAGGTGTTTGTCCAGCGGCAATGCCTCCAGAACACGACATGCAGGCCTCTTTCACACGTGTGTCAAAATTAGGCATTAAAGAAGTGTTTTTAAACCCTCTTTGCCACCTATTAATGCTCATGTGGGATAATGCAACAGCAACCGCCCAGTGCAGTTCACACATGGGAGTTAGAGCTGTGTTGTGTTGCTGTGTGTTAAAAAATAGAGTGCATGAAGGCATTGCCGCTGGACAAATGCCTCCATTGATGTATATTAAAAATACCCATTAAACACTCGGCCAATGCTTCTATAGCAGGCATATAAGAAGAGTTGCACAGGTGTTTTATGAGAGTCATTCTAAAGGTCATTCATTTAGGGTTTGAATCTACTTTAAAGTAACCCGGTCACCACAGGGTTACTTTTACTTAATTTGCTGTGGGTGTCAACTCACCCACACTCTGCCAACCTGGTTACCCACAGGGGGTCCTATTCCCAGGGCTCACTGAACCTTCAGGTCCTCCAATAATTTTGCCAAAAAGGGTGAAGCTGCACCCCACATGTTCCTGCACAGGGCAAGGCCTGTTCCCATCTAATACTTCCCAATATAGGGCCCTGTAATGATGTAGAAAAAGCTTTATAACACTCTTGTGCATCCCAAGATGGCCACAGTAATCTCATGGGAAATTGAGACAAAATGTGACACAGGCTCCCGTAAGTCCATGCCACAGGACACATTATTTCCCTAGTGCCAGTAGTGTCACTTCCCAATACTACCAGCCTGAATCACCTCCCAGTACCAACCTGACAGAGCGATACCATCACTTCTCTGGTATAGTAGCAGCCGCCACCCAACCACTTGCCTACAAATAGGCCACTTGTAAAAGAAGACTTTATACACTTACCTTTCCAGAGGCCAGTGTATTAAAACGCTCCTCCTATCCCCAGACACTGCTTGCATTCTGAATGTGTAAAATACTTGCTACGGTCAGGCTGGTGAGGTTCCCCCCAACTTTTTTTCCCCCGGCTTGAACATAACTACGGAGATATTATCCAGCAGAAGGAACCACAATGGCTCATGGGGGAAACAAGTATTTGACTTTTCCAACAGTTTAAGTAATTCAATACATGGGTCACTAGAAAGGTAAGTGTAGTTCTTATATTTTTACAGGTGTAGTGTTAGGAGTAAAAGTGCCTCCGTGGTGACAGGGTCACTTTAAGCAAAAAAAAAAAAATTAACATTTTGATTAGGTAACAAAATGTTTATAGACAGCATGATGACATTGACGTAGAGTCTGAATCAATGTCCGTCACTGCATTTCACCATACACGGACACGTACATAAAGTTCCAGGATTTACCTTTCTACAAAACACGGCCCAGGGCTGCGCTAAGTAAAGTTTGTTTCTCATGGCTAATACAGATGTCCTTTAAACATTGCCCTAGATAAGCTTATTTTCCTTGTTCCTGATAGCTTGATCTTCATGTGTAAATATTGTCTAACTAAACACGGCAATGATTTCACTGCTAAGGTTTGACAATAGGGAGTGAATGAATTAGGGAAACATGCACACTGCCCTGACATCTCACAGATCCTGAGCGATTATCACTATGGATGGGAAATGGAACTGTGTGGTCTTTTGTTAACTGTATTACCAGAAATGTGCCTTAAAGCGAATCTAAATCCAAAAGTGAAAAATGTAATATATTGCAGCTTAGCAGTCCTTAGATGTGGTCTCTGAATTAGTTCACTGGTTTATGTTTTTTTACCTTTATTTTCACCTGGTGATTCTGACAACACAACCTTATCCCTCTCTTATTGTCTATAACATAGAGGAGCAGAATTCAGTAGTCCTCAGAGACAGCTGTAACTGGTAACAGTCAGCCCAGGAAATATCAGCTTGCAAGATTTCGGGCAGGATCAACTGGTATTTCTTTGAACTAATCAAGCAGATATGAAAAAATGCTATAAAAGGGAGCAAATGAGAAAAGTTAATTGTTAGGGTTCACAAACACTTTCAACTGTCTCTACAGCCAAAACTTGTCCTTGACTCATGCTCCCCCCACACCTTGCAGTGTAGGGTGTAACCAGAAGTATAAGAGTAAGCATCAGAACAATGTGCAGTCTCCAGATTCCTATCCACGGGAGCAGAGCTGGCTGGTGGTAAATAAACTACCCTCGCATGAAATGCAGTAAACACAATTTCCCTAGGCCCAGGAAGCAATAATAAATGTGTGTTACCATATTTCAGCACAAGTTGTGAAAGCCAAGTTCAAAATGGAAGCTGTCACACCAGGCCATATATATTCTCAGATCTGTTGTGGGGGAGGAGGGATGGAGGAGACAAGGAGATCCCCCCTGTCCCTCACTTGCTTGTCACTGATGAGGCATCTTGATGGATGCCATGAGTTTCTTGTTTTTTTTTGTGATTTGACGGCTTGGACAAATGGTGCTTTGCTATTGGTTAAAACCATCCACAGAGCTCAAGCCTTTGACTCCTAGTCAGAGGATGTTGTAGCTATGACCTCACTGTGTTAGAATACACACAGCACCAACGACATCCCGCTGCTGTGTAACCTAACGTAGCCGTCAAAAGCTGGATGAAGCACTGCCAGTAATTAACAGGCAACACCATGTCCATGACAGGTTACACAGAAGCAAGGCTTTCCCTGCTGTGTAACGTGCTAGAAGCCAGTTTGAATGGGGAAAAAGCTATCAGCTTCAGACTTGAAACTAACAGGTCTTTCTTCCATAATGGCAGGTGAGGCTCTGCCTCTCCTGTCTCCCCAGACCGCATGTCCCTGCTCAAGGATCCTCACAAACTTTTAGGTACACAAAACAATTATTGATTCAAAGAGGAGTTCACTTTAAATAACATATTTTAAAACTTCATCGGTCATTTTCAGACCATATGGGCCTTATAGGCCAGTCCATAAATCCCAGAGACCAACCAGCCCATACTCATATATAATACAATGAAATTATGGGACCTAAAACTAGTTAATGATTTTATTTAACGTACTTGG